TTAGAAAATACACAATATTTTTAAGCACATATCATATTTATAAGGGGTGATTTTTACATACTGGACCATAAACCAAGCCTTAACCAAAGGATCAATATCACATAGATTGTGTTCTCTGAACACAATGTGGTAGGAAATTGACAGCAACAAACTTTTAGAAAACTCAATACAGTCAGAAAAATTTCAAACTTCTGTATTACTTGTGAATCAAAAAAATCATATCAGAAACTAGTAAAAACAGAAAAAATATTACAGCCTGTAGTTAAAACAATGCTTAGAAAGAAATATATTTATGGTTTTTCATGCTTATATTAAGAAAAGAAGACTTTAAAACCAGGGAGCTAAGACTTCAACTCAAGATATTCGGAAAAGAACAACATGTGAACAAAAGTAAATTAGAAGGAAAATAAAATTAGGTAAAAAGCAGAAATTAATACAATAAAATAACAAAGACACAATAGAGAGAATCAACAAAAGCAGATTTTTTTGAACACTATTAATATAGATAAACTTTTGGCAAGATTGGCTTAAAAAAGGCATGAATGAACTATATCAGGAAAGAGAAAACAGATATAAGTACAAACAACAGATTTTAAAATATAAAATTTATGTTAATAAATTTGAGAATCTTGACAACATGGGTAGTTTTTAGGGAAAGCTTAACACACAAAACTGACTCATGAAGAACTAGAAAACCTGGATACACACATTAAAGAAATTGGGTTATTGATTTAAGCATATCTACAAACTACATATACATACACACCCATACAAATAGGCCTATGTGATTTTACACATAAATTCTACCTCAGAAAATCCCACTCTTTTAAAAAAAGTTATTTATTTATTTTTGATTACACTGGGTCTTCGTTGCTGTGATGTCTTTCTGTGGTTGCTGTGAGCGGGGCCTTCTCTTTGTTGCAGTGCGCGGGCTGCTCATTGTGGTTGCTTCTCTTGTCACGGAGCAGGCACGGGCTCTAGAGTACAAGGGCTTCAGTAGTTGCAACTCATAGGCCTCATAGTGGTGCTTCAGTAGTTGTGGCTTATGGGCTCCAGAGTGTGAGCTCAGAAGTTGTGGTGCATGGGCCTAGTTACTCCACGGCATGTGAGATCTTCCTGGATCAGAGGTCAAACCCATGTCTCCCGCATTGGCAGACAGGTTCTTTACCAATGAGCTAACAGGGAAGCCCCAGAAAATTCCACTCTTAAATAGACTCGACTCTTTCAGACATTATAAAAAGAGGGTATATATTTCAGCTCATTTTCTGAGGTTAGTATAACTTCCATAACAAAACAAGGATTGTATAACACAGGAAATTAGATCAAATTATGTTGTAAATATAGATCCATAAATTCAAAATAAAATACTATCAAACAGAATCTAGCATGCATTAACAATTAAACCTAACTTAGCATTAAGACCCATTAACTTACCACATTAACAGATTAAAGGGAAAAATAAGATCATCTAGGTAAATTAAGAAAAAGCATTTATTAAAATACAGCACATCTTCTATCTACTTTGTAGACTAAAATCAGGATAGAAGGTGGACCTCAGATAAACCTGAATTGCCTGTAGGAGTATTTCTGGGGGAAAGATATTTGCTTTACTCAGCTGTCCAAGAAAAAAATCAGGGGTTTGTACTGGTTATTTGCACCTGGAGCACTGGCAGGCATATAAAAATATATTCTGGGAATCAGGGCCAAGAGGATCAAAAACCTCCTCTAAAAGGGCAAAAAACTTTGTGATACTGTTCACAACTGTATTTTCATGGGAAACTGGGGGACCTGAGAAGTCCTAGTTCTGTCTAAGAGAATAATACATTATTTCCTGCTTTATAAAATCATCTCTATAAGTTTTCTTCTCATTTGCCATTAAACTTGATATTCTCTATGTCTATTAGTGTCTTTCTGTTAATCATCTTAGGCTTCCCTGGTAGCTCAGATGGTAGAAGAATCTGCCTTCAATGCAGGAGACCAGGGTTTGATCCCTGGGTCAGGAAGATATCCTGGAGAAGGGAATGGCAATCCACTCCAGTATTCTTGTGCCTGGAGAATTCCATGGACAGAAGAATTCTGTTAATCATATTATGGTTCCATTATGACAACAATGCAGAAGGTATTTCTGTCTACCAGAAACCTGTAGTAAACATCATACCTTGTGATGAAACACTGAAAACATTCCCTTGAAAAATAAAGACTAAAGATAAACTTGTCTGCTATAACTGCTTCTCTTCTCTTCACCACTGTATTGAAAGTCTTAGCTAGCACATTAAAAAAAAAACTGAAGAAGTTTATGTATAGATAATGTAGTTATATGGGCTTCCCCGGGGGCACTGGCAGTAAAGAACCCACCTGCCAATGCAGGAGACATCAGAGATGCTGGTTCAATCCCTGGATCAGGAAGATCCCTGGAAAAGGCAATGACAACACACTCCAGTTTTCTTGCCTAGAAAATCCCATGGACAGAGGAGCCTGGCAGGCTACATACAGTCCATGGGGTTGTAAGGAGTTAGACACGACTGAAGCGACTTAGCACATACACACACAATGTAGTTATATGGGCTTCCCAGGATGGCACTAGTGGTAAAGAATCTGCTGGCCAGTGCAGGAAACTTGAGAGACGCAAGTTTGATACCTGGGTAGGGAAGATCCCCTCAAGTAGGAAATGGCAACCCACTTCAGTATTCTTGCCTGGGAAATCCCATACACAGAGGAGTTTGGTGAGCTACAGTCCATAGGCTTACAAAACGTCGGACATGACTGAGCAACTGAACAGGCAGGCACGCAATCTAGTTATATATTTAGAGAAAGGGAAAATTTACAGAAAAAAATTATTAGAACAAAAACAGTTCAGCAAAGTTGGTATACATAAGGTTACTATACAAAAATTACAATCTTATAAACCAACAACAGTTATAAAACATTAAAAAAATAGATATACCTACAGTAGCAACAAAAATATTAGGTATAAAGGAATGACTCTAACAAAAAATGACCTTTATGGATTATCAAAATGTATTGGAAGCAATAAAGAATATGAGCTAGGGGCCTTGTCTATTTACTACCCCATAGAGAAGTATTTTAATGTTTTAACATTGATACAGACTTGCTGATGTAAACTACTGAAAATAACCCTCATTTATCATCTTCACAAGTGGAAAACTTCAATATCATAACGTTGATTTTTCCCAAATTAATCTATAAACTTAATAAAATTTCAGTCAAAAGTGTCAGAAAGTTTTTCATGAAACATAACAAGCTGATTTTAAAATTTGTATGGGGGAGCACAAGGCTGAGACAATTTTAAAGAATTCCATTTTAAAGAAAAGAATAGGTAGGTAACTTAGCCTGTCAGGAAGCTAGGTAAAGAATCCACCTGCAATACAGGAGACCTGTGTTTGATTCCTGGATCTGGAAGATCCCCTAGAGAAGGGATAGGCTTCTTCCAGTATTCATGGGCTTCCCAGATGCCTCAGATGGTAAAGAATCCATCTGCAGTGCGGGAGACCTGGGTTCGATCCCTGGGTTGGGAAGATCCCCTGGAGGAGGACATGGCAACCCACTCCAGTATTCTTGCCTGGAGAATCCCCAGGGACAGAGGAGCCTGGTGGGCTACAGTCCAAGGAGTCATGAAGAGTCTGACATGACTGAGCGACTCAGCACAGCACAGCACAACCCTGTCAGATCTTAAAACTTACAGTGAGGCTAGAAACTAAACAGGATATGGTGTTGACTCTGGGACAGACAAAGTGACTAACGGAGCAGAGAAGAAAGCCCCCTAATGGGACCGCATACATGGGAACTTGGTATGACAGAGAGCATTTAAAACAAGTGGTGAAAATATTCAATGCATTTTCTTGGAACAATTGAATATCCATATAGAATAAAATGAAATTAGATCCTTATCTTTTACCAAGCAAAAAATAAATCTTAGGGAAATAAAAAAAATCTAAATATGATAAGCAGACTTTCAAATGTCTAGAAGATGATATAAGAGAAAACTTTCATGACCTCAGCTAGGAAAATTTTTTTCAAATAAGACACAAACAGTTCAGCATATGGAAACTGATGATTTTGACTATACTAAAATTTAAAACATCTGTATATTTAAAATATCATAAAATGATGAGACAACCTCAGATAGGGAGAAGTTATTCGCAACGCACAATTAATCATGAATTAATATTATCTAGAGTTTATAAAGAATGTCTCCAAATCGATAAGGAAAAGACAACCCAATCAAAAATGAGTAAAGGATATGAAATGGCAATTTGCAGGAAAGGGATCTAGGGGCTTCTCTGGTGGCTCAGTGGTAAAGAATCTGCCTGCCAATGCAGGAGACATGGGTTCAATCCCTGCTCCCAGAAGATCCCACATGCCTTGGAGCAACTAAGCCCATGTACCACAGCTGTTGAGCCTGTGCCCTAGAGCCCGGGAACCACAACTACGGAGCCCACTGCTGCAACTCCTGAAGCCCATGTGCCCTAAAGAGCCCATGCTCTTCCACAACAAGAGATGCCACCACAATGAGATGTCCTAACACTGCAAAGAAGAGTAGCCCCCGCTCGTTGCAGCTAGAGAGAAGCCTGCGTAGCAACAAAGACCCAGCACAGCCAAAAATAATTTTTTTTTTTTAAAAGAGATCTGTCAGTAACATGAATGATGCTCCACCTTAGTAGTGGGACATAGGTTTTACTGCTTGCAATAAAGACCTAAAGTAACAGTGGCATTAAAAACATTAATAGTCTAAGGCTGATATGGTGGCTATATTGTGTGCAGTCATCAAAGCTGTTAGGTCACTCTTTGGTCAGAGATCTCGGTCTTTCTATTTTGTTATTCTGCCATCCCTCATATATTGTCCTTATCTGTGTGGTTCAAGATGGTTTAACAACACATCTGCATTTCAGTGAGTGGAAAGTGAGAAGGGGAAGGGGTAGGCATATTGGACACAACTTAGATGATGCCCAAATCATTTCTCATAAACCACATACTCTCACCTTGCTGCAAGAACCCTGGGAAACATAGTCAGTCTTCATTCTGGATGGTCCTTTGTCCAGCTAATAATTGGATTTTCTATCACTGTGGTAGAAGGGGAGAAGTTTGGGAAGTAGTCTCTACCATAACAGGTAAACAAAGTATCTTACACTCATTTGATTGGAAAAAAAATTTTAACTTTTGAGAACAAGTGTTGGCAATGATATGGTACAAAGCAAATTCTTATATGCTGAGAGTGGAGCATATGGTCAGTTTGGAAAACAACTTGATAATATCAAGTAATATTGATGATGTGCATATTCTCTGAGGTGGCAAGTCCATTTGGGGGATATACTGAAAGAAAACTCTCCCACTTGGGCACAAGTGGATGGTTACAAGAATGAGCTCAGTATTATTTAAATTATCAAAATAATTGGAAGTTTTAAAATGTCCAACAACAAGAGAATGAATCAGTTGTGATCCATTGTATATGTAGTCATACAATAGAATTGTATACAACAGTGAAAGTAAATGAAGTAGAGCTACATGTATCAAAAAAGAAAAAGAACTACATGTATCATCAATAGATAAATCTTAAAAATATAATCTTAAGGCACAGAAGCAATTTGTGAAAGGATATCTGCAATCTGACACTATTTAATAAAGCTTTAAAAATACAAGGCACCTCTATGTACTGTTTATAGAAATACATCTGCTGTATTTGGGGGGACCTGACAAATAGCATCCCTTTTTCCTGCCCAGTTTCTGAACCAGTTGAGAAAGCACATAGGAGTTAGCAGATTAAAACCAAAATATGAACTTCATGACCCATAAAGGATAGATTGAAGACTGTGGCCTTCATAGTAAATGAGAGCTGAAATGGTCTTGATAACTCTTCCCAGTCTAGACTTCAGAGCAGTTCACCTGTGGGAAAATTTGAGGGGCAAACTCAAGTCTCCTCAGCCCCTCAGTCCATCGGCTCCCTCGACTCTGATAAGAGAGGGAAGGAAAAAGAGAGTAAATCTCACTTCAGGACATATTATTTTATATACTCTCTTTAGTCCAGAACCCTGAATCAACAACCACCACTCAGCAGCCAGGGATGGGGCAAGGATCAAGGAGGGTTTAAGAAAAATCTCTCCTAAAGGAAACTAAAGAAATGACTAAGAAGTATCCTAACACTTATAACCATCTCATGGGGATGGTAAGAACCAAATTTGACCTAGTTATTATTCCTAAGCCCTGTCTAACTCCCCAGGGACTGTAGCCCTCCCGGTTCTTCTATTTACCTATTCACAAAGAATTTAATTTTTAGGAGCATTACAACCAAATGATGGCCACTTGCATGGAGTCAAAAGTTAAATCTTTGGTGGACATATGTGATATCCTGCACATTCCAGTAGCATCCTATCAACCCCAAATAGACACACATTAGGGCTTTTCTATAACTAGTGAAAATATAATCCAGTGCTGGAGAGTGTCTAGTTAGGTGTTCATTCTCATTCTTAGTTAACAAGGGTGAAATTAAGACCATCCCACCTTTCTGAAAAACTGCTTAGCAGAAGGTGTCAAAAGCTTTAGAAATATGGAATTCCACTTCTAGGACTCTGGCCTAAAGAAGTTATCTGAAATGCCAACAAAGAGTTGGGCACAAAATGCTCACTGTAGCATGTAGCTTCATGTAAAACATCCTCCTCTTCTTTTAAGTGACACTATAACCTAAATATTCAATTATACAGGAAGAGTCAAACCATTTATGGGTTATTATGCCATAAGGTAATGTTTTACAATTATTTTTGAAAAACCTTGTGAAATAATAAAGTTGTAATTTAATATAGAATTTGTATATGTATATTGTGTATAAACTGTATATTTGCTGTACTTATGGTTTCACCTATATGCATAGAAAATGACCATCTTTTAAACGATGCAATTATGCATGATTTTATTCTTTATATTTTTCTGTATTTAAGAAAATATATAATAAAAACTTTATATTTTAAAAAGAATCTCCTTGAAAAATAATATAGTATCATGTAATATTAAAGCTCATTCCATATATATTTTCTGTCTTTTCAGTTCTAATTTTCACATAAAATACATTAGATTATCCAACAAACAATTAAAATATATTTAAACAGTAACACTGTTTAAAATCTCCCTTTTATCACACCATTCAGAAATTCTGGTTTCCTTTTAAAGCAAATTATCCTTCAAGTGATGAATTTCATATTTAATTTATAGCCTTTATTATCAATTTTGCCATCCTCATCCAGTTAAAACTTTTATCAGGCCCTTTGCTAAATAGACCTTTAAATTTTTTATGATACGGATTGATTGCCTAATGCAGTGTTTCTCAGTCATGTATTTGCTTATTATCTTTCTTTGAGGCATACAGGCTTCACTCTAGTTATAGCACAGGCTCAGTATTAGCAGCATGTAGGCTTATTTGCCCTGTGGCGTATGGGATCCTAGTTCCCCGAACAGGGATCAAACCCACGTTCCTTGCTTTGGAAGGTAGACTGCTAATCATTGGACCACCAGGGAAGTCCCCTCAACCATTTTTTGTCATCACCTCCCTTCAGAGCCTTTTTAGACATTTTTTCATAATTTCCCCCACCCCACAAAATTTTAATATCTGTTTATGTACTATGTGTATATTCATGGCTTATATCTAAAAAGTGTAAATTTTTCACTCTCCCAGGAACTAATTTTCACCCCTTTGGTGGTGATACTGCCTTCCTTAAAAATATGTGGCCTAAAGAAACATTTTGAGAAAATGTTATTTTAACTCTTACAATGAGTCTCAAGCCCACGTGTTTTGTTTTTATAGCTGCCTGCCTCTCAAACATCACATGGTGATCACTCCAACACTACTACTGTGGGGAGAGAAAGACGCATTTATGGACGTTGAGATGGCTGAAGTCACAAAGATTTATGTTAAAAACTATTTCAGGCTGACTATTTTGTCAGAAACCAGTCATTGGCTCCAACAAGAACAACCTGACATAGTGAACAAATTGATATGGACATTTCTAAAAGAAGAAACACGAAGAAAAGATTGACTTTTTCTATGAGGAATCTATAATGGAATCTCCTAATAATTTTTAAAAATTGTTCATCAACTTCTTTAAGCTTCATTAGGAAAAAATTGTTTTAATATGCTTTATTATAAATAAGTATCCTGACAAATGATATTGAAAAAAATCTGAGAATGTGTGAACTTGTAATATAATGTTGATTTTCTTCTGTTGTATTTTGCACAGAAAAGCATTTGCCTTAAAATGTATACACTTGGACAAAAAGGAAGTTGGAGAAAGTGGCTCAGTTTTGGGTTTTTTTGCATTCTTTACCTTGTTAATATATGGTGCCTTTTACAAATGTATATTAAAGATTAGTTGTGCCATATTAAAAGGCAAACGTGCAATGGTATAAATTTTTATTTTATTGTTCAAAAGTTCTTTTTACTATTTTTTAACCATTAAAAAATTCTGTTATCAAATATCTTGGATTTAGAGTATATTTATTAGTTTGAAAGCAAATATGACAAGGTGAATATGCATCTTAAAATAGGCCATAAATACTACTTACACTGGGAAGAGTAACAAGAGAGGATATGAAGATTCTTATATTTACATACATAATTATTAAACATTATAGGGAAGCAAGTCCATTAAATTATTTGCCTTAATTCTCTAGCTAAATGGGTGAGAGATTTAGGAAAAGGATCAAAATGTCCTTTTGCCTCATTTAAAGCAAGAAGAAATGAATACTATACTTTCTATGTGCACTAGAATCTCAGCTCCACAGGGCAGAGACTTTTGTTTCATTAACTGACACAATATCCAGCATCTAAAATAAGAGCCTGATTCTTTGTGTGAGCTCAAATATTTGCTAAATGAATAAATAAATTATCTGATACACTGTTAGGCACTGTGGGGGAAATATGAAAGAAAAGTAACATCATAATATTGATCTTTCCCTTAAGAAGCATACACAGAATGCATGTGTGCATGCTAAGTTGCTTTAGTCATGTCTGACTCTTTGTGACCCTATGGACTGTGGCCCGCCGGGCTCCTCTGTCAATGGGATTCTCCAGGCAAGAATACAAGTGGACTGCCATGCTCTCCTTCAAGGGATCTCCTTGACCCAGGAATCAAACTTGCGTCTCTTATGTTTCCTGCATCGGCAGGTGGGTTCTTTACCACTAGCACCACGTGGGAATGCAGTTAAATTAAACAAGGGTTCAAAAGAGTAATGAACATTACAAATAAGAGTGGGAAAGGAATTCCCTGGTCCAGTGGTTAGGACTCAACCCTTTTACTGCCGGGCCCAGGTTCAATTCCTGGTCGGGGAACTAAGATCCCACAAGGGTGTGCCCCCCCCCCCCAAAAAAAAGGGGGAAGAATTACAGAATAGAGGATGACACCAACTTGAGAGATTACTACTCATTCTCTTGGGTTGCTCTCATTTGGAATGGGAGACAACCAGAAACAATGCCAAATCATGGCTTTTTAGAGTCTACAATGGTGTTCCTAATGTTTCCCTCACTAAGCATAGTTCTGAGAAGTGACAAAAGTAAGTGGAATGTCTCTAAAAATTCTTATCGTATCCTAGCAACATGTGTTTACCAATAAAAGCCCAGTTTTCTATATACACTGTGGTGTATGAGGTACTTCTACCTCATAACATTGCAAGGTAGGGAGTATCACCACTTTAGAGATGTAAAAATGAGATTGCTGCCCACAGCATAAAAGTCAGAACCAGGATCTGACCTAGATTCATTTGGTTGTAAAGTCCATAATCTTTCCACTTAGATCATATTTTGTTTAACAGTCTTTGGTATCCATACTGCTCTTCCTATTTTATGGGTAACCTGGTATATTCCAATAATTAGAAACACCTTTCAGAAACCTACAATTTGAATTCTGAAGGAATTTAAATTAGCATATAGCAAACAGGAATATTTTATATAGCAGATGCTACAAGCTATAGCAGAGAGCCTGGTTCAACCAACTTTGATTATGCTGCTGTCTTGATCATTTTCAAAGGGCAGCAACTAGGGAAGGAACAAGACTTTACTGACCATGTGTCATGACAC